CCCACTCCCCGCGGGAGGAGTGCCTCCTTCCATCCGCCAGGCGTGCAGGCAGGCACCCAACCGGTGAAGCTCTCCCTAACCCTTGGCCTGAATGCCTGCGGGGCTGCGAGGGGGCGGACGGGCTGAGCATTTGCAGCGGGTGTGTGTGTGGGGAAAGGCTTCACCCACGGCCCCCCTCCCACAGGAGGGCCGAGCCCCCCACCCACACTCGCTTGCCTGCCAGGATGGAGACCTGGCGCAGCTGACGTTGACCAGGGCGCTGCAAGGCCACCGCGTTGGCATAACCTCCTGCTGCAAAGAGGCCCCGGTGTGTTATAAATCCCTGTTTTGCCTCCTTCAGGGCTGAGGCCTCCTCTCGTGTCTGCTGCCTCCTTTCACACCAGTTCCCAGAACAGCGCCAAGGAGGATTATTACCAGATTTTGGGGGTGCCCCGGACCGCCAGCCAGAAGGACATCAAGAAGGCTTATTACCAGGTACCTTCGCTGAAGCTGATGGGCTCAGGGTTTATTTGTCAAAACTGGATCACCTGATTATATTTTTCGGGGACGGTGTGACCCAAGACATCAGATTGTTTCATTTGTCCTCTTAAAAGTAAGCCTTCTGTCGCACGGCCTGGTTTGTGTTGCCCAAGGACCCTCAGGATAGGGGGAAAGTCCTGCACCTGAGGTTCTTTTAAAAAGGGAAAAACATTCTGACACTCATGGCCAGGCCAGAGCTCTCAAAAGAGTTCATGCTGCTTTTGCTGATTTGAAGCAAAGGTTGCCAGTGCTTTTTTCCTGTTCTGTACTAGAAGGTGAGATAGACAGGTACGGAGTCAGGCCATTTCTTTCGAAGATTGTGACTAAAAGAACATGTAACAAATTTCAGGCAACACACAAGTGATATAGCAGATCAAAATTTTTTTTTAAAACCACAAATGGTTATGTTTACATTCTTTCCTTTGTTTCTCATGTTACTTCTGTTCCTAAACATCCAGTCCCCTTTCTGTTATACAGGACATGTTTCCCCCTTCCTGCATACATGGCAGATCTTCTTTAACAGCTCTTGAGTTGTCAATGAATTGATAAAGGAATCTTGTGAGAGTTTAAAGACTGACAGGTTTTATTTGGCATAAAGCTTTTGTGGAAGGCAGCCTCCTTCATCAGATGTGCAAACAAGGAAGAACGTGCAGTGGTGTTATGAGGCAGGCTTCCCAGCTTGATTGCCAAAAGGCACCAGGTTTGCAAAAGGCCCATTGTGAGGGAAGGGGGAAATTGGCTCTTGTACAATGGTTGATGGAAGATTACCGGCTTTTGTTTGCAAGCATCACTGAAGAGAGGCAACGATAACCATAAATCTCTTGACCATCACCTTCCCTTTGGGATCTTTTTGCTTAGCTTGCCAAGAAGTATCATCCTGACACCAATAAAGATGACCCAAAAGCAAAGGAGAAGTTTGCCCAGCTGGCGGAAGCCTATGAGGTGAGGGCCTTGCCCACTTTTCGTATTGGGACAGTGAGCTAATTCTGGACTGCTCGCGTTGCCTGGAAGGGGGCATGGGCTACTTGGCAGTCAAGCGCTGCTCGCCCTGTGTTGCAGAAATTAAGCCCTGATTCAGGTTGCCCTGCTCATAGGTTTTGGGTGACGAAGTGAAGCGGAAACAATATGATACCTACGGGACAGCTGACTTTGAACAGGCCTCAGCGGGTGCTGGGCAGCAGTACTGGCGGAGCAGCACTACTGTGGATCCAGAGGAGCTGTTCAGGAAGATCTTTGGGGAGTTTTCAGGATCTTCCTTTGGCGACTTTCAATCTGTCTTTGACCAACCCCAGGAGGTAAGTGTCACAGCTCTGTGTCCATGTGGTATGCGCACGTACATGTCATGTGCATGTGCCTGCCTGGTTACAGAGCCGTTTGTCTTGGCTAAGCCACTGCAGAGGAAAGCAGGGTGGTGCAGCTGGGGAGAGTTTGGGCTCTGGGTTTGTGAGATCACATGCACATGTTACAGTAGCTGTGCATTAAATTCTTTTGATGAACAAGGCCACTTACAAAAGCAAAAAAATTCTTCCCTATCTCACCTCCCTTTCCTGCTCTCCACACACAGGAAGGGGTCCCTGCAGAGGTCCCCGGATCTTTGCCCGAGCTGAGCCTGATCTATGTTCTGCCCTCTTTTCCCTCAGTACATCATGGACCTGACGTTCACCCAGGCAGCCAAAGGGGTGAACAAGGAAATGGTGGTCCAGATCAGCGATGAGTGTGAGCGATGTCATGGCAGAAGGAACGAGCCGGGCACCAAAGTGCAGCATTGCCACTACTGCAATGGGACAGGCATGGTAAGGGTCTCAAGGAGGGTGGTGCAGAGGCAAGGAAGCCCCTGCAGTCCTCCTCGTGCGATCCAGCAGGGCTCCTCTTACGTTATTTTTTTATGTTTCCTTGCATCTTCCTTTCAATAGGAAACTATCAATACAGGGCCCTTCGTCATGCGCTCAACCTGTCGACGGTGCGGTGGTCGTGGCTCTGTTGTAACAACCCCTTGCGTGCTCTGTCGGGGCAGTGGCCAAACGAAACAGAAGAAGAAAGTGATGGTCCCTGTTCCAGCAGGTCTGCGTGTTTTTCTGGCGTATTCTAGAGAAGAACAGGGACTGCTTTTCTTTTGTGAAAATTGGTTTGCCCGTGGAGGGAAACTCCTCTTTGCCAACCTTTAGAGTTAGTGGGTGTGCAAATAAGAGTGGGATGGGGATGTCCTTAGCCAGGAGGAGAAGCTGAGGGCAGGGTCTCGGTGAAGGGATCCATATTTCTTCCTTTTTTCTGACTTCAGGTGTGGAGGATGGACAGACAGTTCGAATGCCTGTGGGAAAGAAGGAAATTTTCATTACCTTCAGGGTGAGTCTCCACCTGGACTTCTCTCCCGACAGATGCATCGTATTGCTGGGGTCTGTGACCCACCCCTGCTTTTCGATTCCAGGTTCAGAAGAGCTCCACGTTCCGGAGGGACGGTGCAGATATCCACTCCGACCTTCACATCTCGATAGCGCAAGCTGTCCTCGGAGGAACAGCAAGAGCGCCGGGTCTGTACGAGACCATCAGTATTGTGGTACGTGGGGCCAGGTCCCATAGAAGTACAGTGGGCTCTTCTCTCCGGCTGACAGGAGCAGGAAACAGCAGGGCCTCTGATTGACCCAAAACCTGATGAGCCCAGGCATGTGGTTCTACACGCGAGCAACTCGGAGAAGGCCCAGTGGGAGGTTCGCATGGGAACGCTTTGTCTTTTGCCCCCTGCACAGATTCCACCAGGCATCCAGGCTGAGCACAGGATCCGGATGAGCGGGAAGGGCATTCCCAGGGTGAACAGCTACGGTTACGGAGACCACTACATTCATATAAAGATCAAAGTTCCCAAGTAAGTGGGACATCTGTCGGGGTGGGGAGAGTTTTGCAGGAGCCCAGGAAAAAGAGGACTGTTGTACGGCAGACAGACAGACAGAGTTTTCCCTGTGTCGGGGGTGCTCAGGAATACGGCCAGGCTGCCTCCCAAAGTGCCTAGGGACGGTAGCGGTCCCCTCCTGGAGCCTCCCGCTCTCATAGTATTCGGCTCGTAGGTTTCAAGCTGGGCTCCTGCTCTGCATGCAGCGCCCAGGGGGTGGAAGAAGCCTGTGGTGGTGTCGCTTCCTCTGGGGACTCTGCCTTTCAGGGGCCCCGAGCCATCAGGTCTCCTCCCTGTAAAGCTCCAGGGCTGCCCTTGTTTTCCCTTTGCTCTGTAGGAGCTTGACTGAGCGCCAGCGAGCTCTGATGCTGAGCTATGCTGAGGATGAGAAGGACGTCGAAGGCACCGTGAATGGCGTGACCACCACCGTAGCGGGTAACAGGCTGTGGGGTCCTTCCGTGGCGCTTGGTTTGGGAGGACCAACCCTGGCCTCTTCTGGAGAGCCCTGCTCTGCCGTGTGAACGATCCTGAACTGGCAGCAAATAGCAAGGTGGCTTATGCTTGGGCCAGAATGGATGGCCCCAGGTGTTTACCCCAGAGACGGAGACGTCAGGGCCCGCTCTGCTTTGGCTGTAGCCACAACATAACGAGACACTACATGGTGCCCTTCTAACATTTTCCTTTTCACCCAAGGAAGGAGGCAAGCAGTCCTGGAGGTTTGGGCGGTGGTCATTTCTTTCCCTGTCCCATACCCATCTCAGGGTGCACCAGCCCCTTTTAGGCAGACCCAGAAGTCACTCCCACTGAATTTGGGTATAGAAGGAACGGGAGTGGGGCCTGGGGAAAGTGGTAAGAGACACGAGAGGCCGCACGGATCTCTTCTAACAAAAATTGTTAGCAGAGCAAGTATTTCCACACACCACTCTTGAGGGAAGGGGGAAAAAGAGGACAGCCATTAAAAGAGGACAGCCAGGGGACCTGGGAACATACTACCCAGGCCCACAAGCATCTCCAAAGGGAAGCTAGTCTCCCTTTCCTCCCGCCTCAGTTCTGCTGGGTTTGGCTTGAGGTGTCCTATGTGTCGGTTCCTTGATCTGAGAGCCTGCTGCAAATCTAAAAGAGAGCTCAGCTGACCTTTTGAGAGGTCACGTCCATTAAAAGAGAATTGTTACCAAAAGCTGAAGGAAAGAGAGACTCAAAGCACAAGTGGAAAGAAGGGGGGCTTGTCTCAGAGGCTTGAAGCAAGTTCTGCCCACGGATAAGGCTGAGCGGCAAATGCAGGAGGACTGCGCACGGCGGACCAAGAAGAGCAAAGCAGAGGCTAGAGCCATGGTTTATCCCTCGTGCACCCGGGTTCAAAGCAAGGGCCCTCCGAAGAGGAAGGGCAAGCCTGGCCACCCTGCCAGCCTCGCCTCCTTTTTCTCCCCAAAGCTGGGGGCGGTTTCAAGGCGGGCCCAGGGATGATGCATCCTCTGACACACAGCTCTCTGCTGTTTGTATCCAGGCGGCAGGGGCACGACTAGGACGGGGGCAGGCGAAGAGAGGCCTGAGGCAGGGGACGGCACGGAGGGATTCCTAGCTAAACTTAAGAAAATGTTTAGCTCCTGAGTAACCCCCCACCAGAGGTAGGCAAGCCTCTTGCATTCTTTCCACACACAGGTCTCTGCATTTGCTTCTGTTGAGCAACGGCAGAAAATACCTAGCAGCCGGGTGGATTGGGAAGAGCCCTCTCTTTGAGGGAATGTGCCTCTGGCTGCTAAAATCCCACAGCTGGAATGACCCCAAAAGGCCACCAGAGACTGGATTCTACCAGCAAGGTGTCCTGGACTACATTCCGGAGTCACAGTTGTGTCTGTGTGTGAACCCCCCCCCCCCAAGATGCTGGGGAGCCTTTAGGAAGTTGAACCTGGCTTTTGCTTGATGCAGGCGCACCAGCAGGATGGCATGAAAGTCAGGGTCCTGCTCTGAGCGGAGGAACCAGGCAGGAAAGGGCAGCAGGGAGGCAGGGATTTTTGGGGCTCAGAGCTCAATGGCTGCTGGTAACTTGTCCCATTAATGGCTGCAAGCGGAAATGTTGAGGGACAGTGCTGGCCGGGCAGCTGCTCCTCCTTACTGGGGTTTCTCTTTGGGTTGCAGGGAAACGGTCCACTGGAAACTAGAGCCTGGGCGACAGCAGTCGGGTGGCCGCGGCGTCCTCCTTGGAGGTGCCGGGACATCAGGAGCCTGGCCAGACCCCTCATGGACCTGCTTGACCTCATGACTAGACTGGAGGAGGAGAAGGGCTTTCACCCAGAAGCCGGGTTGCAGAGGGCTCATCTCTGCCTTGCCAGCTGCAGGAATCACGAAGGACTTTCCCATGCCTTGAAGAGGCTCTTCCTACTTTTCTGGACAGATGCAAACTGCTCTGTGGTGGGAACCTGAACAGGGAGAATAAAGTGTACACCTAGCTTAACAAGCAATGTTTGCTATCCTGGGATTCTGACAAGCTCCCTGCTCTCCCGAGAGCTCCTAAGACCCTCCACCTTCTTCTCTGCAGAGCCCCACATTCCCGGAAGAGGCATTGGCTTCCTATTTTCCAGACGGTAAACTGCTTCAGCTGTGGGTCACCTGGGCTCCCAGAGAGGACGGTCTTGCCCCCACGGTGGTTGCTGTCACGGCCAAGGATCCCTCTGCTGCTGCTCAGCCTGCAGTGGGGCGGAGGGGTTTTCGAGTGAGGAGCATGAGCTCAAAAGTTCCACAGGAACTAGTTGCCTCTTTGTCCCTGAAGCTGGACAGGGTTGAAGTAGAAATGGTACAGAGTAGCTTCTCATGGCTTCTCTGATCTCATGGAGGAAAATAACCCCTCTGGATCTGGACCGTATGATGAACCCAGCTATGAAGCCAGGGCCCCTAGAATTTACTACACACGACAGCAGAACAGATGTGTTCTGAGAAACCCCAGCCCTTCTCGTGCGCCACAGTCATGAAATGAGGTTGCTGTGAGTAATTAGCGTGTGTCACAAGCATCCGTTATTGCTGCTTTATATGTTTGGCTGGGAGCTGAGTTGCTAGAGAACAGAGAATGGGCCAGTGGCCTCTGAAGGAAATATGGGACTGAGCCAGTGAGCGTAGAAGTGGGTCATTCTGTCCAGCTCTTTCAGCTGATCTCTTGACGATGATTCCCCGAACAGTTAAATCCACAAGGGCCACAGCGCTCTTTTCTCCTTAGCTTGCAACATCTGGCTTGTATAATCTTGAGTCTCTGGACCTGTAAGGTACTGGTGTTAATCACAGATCTGCTCTATAAAGTTGTAGTTGTCGAGAGTCTTGTTTGTTTTATCTTCCAAGCATCCCTGCATTTTGGAGAATAGGCAGAAGAATAGTCCTGTGGCTTCCAACCAGCGGTCAGTCCCAGCTGGAGCAAAAGGAGGGCATGAACTGCTGAAGGGCCAAGTCACCATTTATGTCAATATCAGAGTTTCAGCGGGTCTGCCATAGTTGGGGACTGACCATTGGCTTATGCTTGCATTTTTTTTCTGGGCCTGAGGAAATTCCTGCTTTTGAACCTGGCAGGAAGTTGTTAAACCGAGGTGGTCGTTTTCTGCGCAGGCTCCTCTTTCTGGTTAACTTGGCCCCTACGGTGCTACGTGTAAAGTTTCTCAGGTGTCTATGACACAATGATGGGGTCATTTGGCTCCTTCACCCTCGGCCTCCAGGGAAGCCCTAAGAGGCTCTGAGCAGGGGAAGGTGGCTCCTAAACCTTTCTGTTTCAAGACGGCCAGTCTTTGAGCCCCAGGAAGGGGGCTGGGCTTCGAAGCTGCTGTGCATCACTGGGGGTGGGGGAGGAGGTGGAAGAGAACCACGGGCCATGCTGCTCATCGCCGGCCGCTCTTCCTGAGACTGGATGCAGAGTGGGGGTTCTCGGGAGGAAACGAGCTGGTATGTGGGGGGCTTTGCCTCTTTATAGTTCAGCTTAAAATCGCTGTCCACCTGCTGTACAGAGATGATCTGAGCAGTGGTCAAAGTAGTTCTTTTTATTTAATAGGGGGAGAAGTGATTAGTGGCAATGGGCCTGTGGCCTCCACCCTCCCTCCGTTACAGGTCCTTTAGAGCAGCTCCTTCCTCTTCCATCCATTCCTCAAAGGTTCTGGCTTTTGGGTTGAGCGTCAGGGTCAAGGAGATATCACGAACTAGCCCCATGGTGAAGAAGCGGAACATGTTGGCAAGCTCTTGGGTGCCTGGGAAGTCTAGTTTTTCATAGGATTCAAGTGAGATCTATAAAAGAGAAAGGTCACATTTTCAGCCAGAAAGTGCAGGTCACCAGTGGGACGGACATCTGGCCTGCTTGAGCCTTTTGGGGAACAACAACAGCACATATTTTCTGTTGACGGGGATCTGTTTCCAGGCCACTCCCAGGCAGCCGAGACCAGAACACGGGATCAATGCCCTCATCCCAAGTGTCCAAAAAAAGGGGACTCTTGTACCTGCTGGCAACTCCTTCCCTGGAAAGACAGTCTTACCTGAGCGTCTCGCACAGTCTTCCCGCTGTGCTTTGCTATCAAAGCTGCATACTCTGCCATGGTGAGTTTGCACGTGCTCAGCCCGATATCCTTGCCTATGTACCTCTCCGGCTCCTTCATCAGTTGAACCACCACCGGCCCAAGGTCAGCGACCGCCATGCCGTGCACAGGCACCTCCCCCACAGGAAGAGCTACGGGGGACAGGAAGAGGGAGGATCAAAACCTGGAGGTCTCCAGTGGCTGGGCATTGCATGAGAAGAGCAGCAAGGGAAAAGGCCTGTTGCTCTGGCAGGGAACCCGAGCGACTCCAGAGCACCAGGGACGGCAGAGGCTGAGACGAGACCGCGGAGCTTGGTCCAGTCACTGGGCCGAGAAAGACTGGTGGGAGAAGGTGCGTGTAGTAGTAGCTCTCCTGCTGGTGCGCAGCATGTTTCTTTGCAGGGGTGAGTCCAATTAGCCTGAGGGGAGGGAGGGGAGGCAGGGAGAACTTGCCTGAAATGGTGGCGACCAAGAAACACCTGGATCGAGAATGCCAGACAAAAAAACATGAAAAGGGTAAAAAAGGTAAAAGAAGGCAAAAACGTTGTGACCCTTTAAAGATTAACTGCTCTGATTTTAATGTGAACTTGTGTGGATCAAGTCCACTTCCTCAGACCTACAGGAGAGACTATGTGGCAAACATACGTGGCCCCACTTTTTGCTGAGATCCAAGGGGAACCGTCCCTGCCGCCCCCCAGCAGCCAGAACTGCCTTTTTGGCCTCTTGTGGAAGAACCCGTTTCCTTGGTGCCTCCACAAGAGAGAGACAGACCAGCAAGGGTCAGCCTGGTCAGGGCCAGACAGGGAGGTGGCTCTACCTAGTTCGTAGCAGTCTTCATCTGTGGTCTTCTGGGGTCTGAAGACAGTGAGGAAGTTCTCAAAGTAGGAGGGCATCCTCAGACTGGTCATGGGCACCTCAATAGCCCGGAAATACTCTTCCACCTCGCCTTTGCCATCAAAGTGCGGCACCTCCAGCTGCCCACCCGTCAGCTTCTGCACGTATTCAAGGCCGCTGTAGACGACGTAGCTCAAGGAGAGGCGCTTCGCCAGGTCTGCTACGCGCTTTCCCTGAAGACGAAACAGAGGGAAGGGACTGGTGAGGAGCATTCCCTGCTCCTTCTCCCTGCCCTGCAGGTTGTTCTCTTTCTTGCCAGGCGGAGCACATAACAGACCCCCACCCACCCCGGGTTGTCCTGTCACTGCCTGGAGGACCAAGGCAGAACCTAGCTCTGCAGCAAGAGGTCCTGGGGGAGAGGGGGGGCTCTTTGCATATGGTTCACTCCTCCACATCGCACAACCAGGACATCCAACGACTCCAGAGGTCAAACATGGCTACATTTCCACATAAACTAAGGTCTGGGAACCGTGGAGCAGAAGTAAACTACAACTCCTGCTGCTTCAGTATCTAGTCAGGATGGTTTGGGAAGCTTTCTCTGTTGTTCTGCCCACCTTACTCTCAGCAAGGCCAAGACTTATGGTTTGGGAAGCTTTCTCTGTTGTTCTGTCCGCCCTAAGCTCAGCAAGGCCAAGACTTAACGAGAAGAGTCTGGCAGCTCTTGAAAGCTCCTGATTATGATATTTACTGGCCCGAGAATGATACTGCCTGCTGAGTTTCTGGATTTGGTGCATGGACCACGCAGTTATAGCTTCTTTTGAACTCACCATTATGTGTCAAGATGTTAAGAGAAACTCTGGTGGGCCACGTCGTGCCCCTACCTGCCCCCACCAGCCCAGACGCAACACACCCCAGCTCTGCCAGAGCTTTGCTCCCTCTCCGCCTCCAGCCTCTACCTGCGCAACCTCCTGCTCCTTGTTCTGATGCTCCCAGAAGTCAGTCACAAGGAAGGCAGCGTAGGCGCCCATCAGGGCCGGCTCCAGGCTCTGCACATCATCCAGGTCTGCCCTCACCACTTCTGCTCCCATTCCTTTCAGCTCTTGGGCAGCTCTCTGGCGGGGCTTCCGGGTGATGGCTCGCACCTGGAAGGTAGCATCTTCGAGAAGGGCCCTGGCCACGGAGCCTCCCTGAGCGCCTGCAGGAAGGCAAGACCAGCGGCTCACAGGGGGATGCAGAAAGGCCCCATCCCTTCCCCATCATCTTCATATGGCTTATTGCCATGCATCCATCCCATTGGTCGACTAGTGAGCTCAGGACACATGGAGGTCCTCCCCACATGGCCCTGACACTTCCAGCCCTGTGAGGAAACTAAAGTTGGCCCTCAAAATGAAAACGGAGGTGGCAGGGAAAGCTCTTGAGGCCTTCAGACCTGCAGCTTAAATCTCCAGAACTGCTCGAGCACAGAAGACCCTTTTAAATGCTGAGCGGTGGCCCCTAAAAGCACCTGGCAGCAGCAGCATCGCTCCCAGCTTCTCAGGGCGCCTGGTTCTGAAAAAGGGGGGAAGCCCTTCCCTAAAGCTTCAGCACAGCAGCTAGGAGTGCCCCTTGCGCCCTTTCCGTGTGTCCAGGGGAGGCCACCCTGACCATGACCCCCATTCTGCCAGGGGACAGGTACTCTGGGCAGCCCCAGGCCACTTGCTTGACCGCTGTTGGATTGCTATGGTTCTGGAAGGTGGGAGGAAAAGGCCCTCCTGGCAGGAACATGGGTGGCCTTGGGTAACCCCCTCCCTCGACTGAGGGCAGTGGGAGTCAAGTGTTCTTCAGCCTCAGGCGGCAAAATGTCTCAGGCCGGACCTTCCAGCGGACGGTTGCCTACCTGTGGCTCCAAAGACCACGACCAGTTTCTTCTGGGCCATCCTGAGAGGGAGTCACTCTGCCTGGCGGGGGGGGGGCGGAGAAAAGGGAAAAACCTATCAGGAGGGTGAGGCTGGAGGAGACCCCCTGCTCCAGCCCGAGCGGGTGGAAGTGTTCCTTGCTCGGACTACCAACCCCATGTCCTGGAGGGAGGGGGATGCTGGGTGAGAGAGTACTCTGCTTCTACCCGGTCACTCCTGGGCCCATCAGCTCCCTCTTCCCCCCCTTCCCACGCGCTTCAGGGATCCCAATTAGTGGCACAAGGGAGAAGCCGCTGAGCAGGGCAGAGCGAGAGCGGCGCCCTCCCGCCACGGGTACACGTGTCGCGAGTCTGAACGCCCCCCTGGGACACGTGTTTTCCCGGGCTAGGGAGAAGAGGGCGGCTGGTGAAAGAGAGGGGTCCTGGGGCCCAAACCAGGCTCACTCCCGCTTGGTTGGAGACGGGCTGGGTCGGGAAGGGAGAAAGCACTCCGTGCATGCTCAGAGACCCTCTTTTTCCTGCCGCCCCACCTGGAGCAAGCGGAAGAGGCGTCACCTGACCAAGCGAGAGAGAGAGGGAGGGGAGGGAGGACAAAGACGGCGCGCGCCCATTGGCCCAAGCCTTTTGTCACGTGACGGGAGTCGTCAAGCGCGAGGCGCGGGCAAACCGTCCTTCTGTTCCCCCCCCCCCACTCGGTGGGAGGAGCCTGGACGGAGAGTTGTTTACCTTCCACCCCGCGCGAGGGGAAGGCGGGGCCGAAAGCGCGGCCGCGGCCTGGGCAGCGCTCGTGACGTCACAAACGGCGCGCCCGCTGATAGGCACTTAGGCCCCTGCGCGTCGCGTCCAG